GGGCTACCGTGATCAGCCAGGCTAAAAGATCCAATGCCGAGCACTTCCTGGTAGAGGCTACTATCCGCGGGCCTCTGTAGAGGCGAGTGGCCCGACTGGTCGACGTCGAAGGTATCGGAACTGACGAGATGGGGCGAAGGGGCCACAGAGGAGACGTCCGAGTACTCGGAGGGAGTCCGGCGATGGCCCTGGAACTGCGGCTGAGTCCAGTCTCCAATCTGGCTGGGGAGAAGCGCGGCCTCGGGTCCTAGGGAAGCATTTCTCGAATGAGTCGACGGAGGCGAGAACTGGTGCTGGTTGAAGGGAGGTGACTGCAGACTGTCGGGCTGGTAGAGCCGTGGAGGGGTCGGAGACTGGTGCGAATGCGGGGAGGTCATGGCATTAAGGTCGCCCAGCGGCGGCTGCTCGAAGAGGGGGGCGTTGTACTGATCGCCTTGCTCAGCGGCCGAGGGGAAGAGAGAGAAATCACCGTCGTGGAGGTTTGGAGAGAGGTAGTTGTGTTGCGCCTGGGCGTTCAGGGAGAGGGTGGAGTCGGGTCCGGTGGCCGGCTGCTGTCCGAAGCTCGCGCTGGGATCAAAGCCGTTTGTCGGGTCGACGGCGTTGGCTTGTGCGCCGAGGAAGCCGTTTGCGCCGAACGAGTCGTAGTTGGGATGCAGGGGCGCCGCGAATGCTCGTTGCTGCTGCTGCTGTAGTCGTTGCTGCTGCTGCTGCTGCTGCAGTTGTTGTTGCTGTTGTGACGGATCCAGGTCGACGCCGAGTCCAACATTAAGACCAGCGGATGGCTGCTCACCGGTGGGTGCCCGTGCCGGCGAGTGAGATTGGTTTATATCAGACTGGAAGCCACCGGCCGACGGCGACCTTCCACGCTGGGGTTCATGGGCCATGATGGCGGCCGAGCGCTTGATCTGTCCGCTTCGTACCTCGTCGTTGCGAGGCAGATTCCACAGTCAGCCTTCCGGGCTACAGCGGGGAGGCTGTGCACTGGCGGCAGCAATGCAAGGTGCTGGGGGGTGCGGCCCTATCACAGCGGCAGGACGCGTACAGCAGATGCGAATCACAGTCTGGACAGTGTTTCAGACGGGCGGTCCTGAGGCCGGCTGCAACTCGTTCTCCGAGCGGGTGCGGGCGTCCAGGCACGGGGTGGATGAGCCGTGGCTATAGCCGTCTGAGCAGGTATCAGATAGGGCTGGGCCTGGATCCGAGGGGTTGCTGGCGAGGCGAGGCCAGCAGAGGCGATGCCAGACGCTGGATGATGTGATGGATGACGAGGCGCCAGAGGCCAGAGATGGTAAGAGAAGTGCTGGTGAGAAGTTTGGAGGTCCGGCACGGCACTGGCAAGCGAGAAAGTGACGGGAAGGGGGGAGGATCGTTCTGCGACCTTTCTTTGTCGGGATTCGTTCGGGTTGGGCGCCAAATCATGGACCAGAGACGGGGACCCGCGAGGCTGTGCACAAACTGGAGCAGCAACCTTGTGGCCGCAAGTCTGCTGCCGGGATACGGGAGCAGGAGCTAAAGCAGGAGCAGGAGCAGGAGCTGGAGAGTTGCAGTGACAGCGTCTGACGGCGCTGCTGACGACGCAGCTGGTACGGGAGCTGGAGAGGCTGCGGGCTGGTCGAGGTGCGGGATGATGATGGAGGAGGCAGAAAGCTAATCGCACAAGGTGGGATGTGGATTCAACGGAACCGGAGGACCAGGTGGCCGCTGGGACTGTAGCAGCACATCAGCGCTGTAAGGGCTGCTGAAGGGGCCACGGCTTAGGCGGCCGGAGCAGTGCTAAGACGACCTGGACTGCTAGGGGAGTGTACTAGCAGCGAGCAGCCGCTAGAGAGGTTGCCTTTTAGCGGCTTGAGCTGGCTGTAAGTGGATGTCCAGGTGTTCTCAAGGTTGTGCTGTCATGTCTGGTCATCTCCACGTGAAAACCGTCCAGGCGAGGGACACCAAGAAAGGCTGTTTGCTTGAGACGCCCTGGATCAAGGTACGTCGGCTATACTTTTCTGCGTGTACTTTCCATGCCAGCATGAGGGGGAGCACGCCTTGTGATGATATGGGCAGTACCTTTGAAGGCACACGAACAGAGTACTCGTACGTCGCAGTACTCTCTACCTGTACGCCGTCCAACATGACTGGAATTGACGTCCAGCGATATCCGGCAATTGGCGCCGAGCGGCCTCCGTCACTTCTTCAGTGCCAGCCAACAACTTGAATCCAGAGCAATTTCCAGTGCCCTTGCGTAGCGCCTCGTACCGCCTTGTACCCCGTCAAGTCGACGGCTTGTGCCCGGCGAGAGCACGACCCCGCACAGAGTCGTATGGATGGCCTCTTTCGTCGCCGGCGCCCCTCCGTGGCGGGATACAGGACAGAAGAACAGGAACGCAGGAAGATGGAACTTGATTGGAAACTGGAAGTATTCCAAATGGAGTCAGCAAGGCATTCCAAAAGGTCTGGAATATCTCCTAAATCGACCACGCCCTGGCTTCACGTTGCTCCAAGGTGGTGAGACTCAAAGCCGCTGCCTACTACCTAGAAAGGTATGCCATCTGTTCGTTCTGTCACTTGTTGAACCCTGCTGGCATCTGGTGAAGAGAAAGCTGCCAAGGAGCCCCGGCCATGGCTCTCAAAGGCGGCAGTATGTATGTGGACTCTTCTCGACAAACAACCCCGTTTCCCACCGTTACAGCCACCGTCAAATAGCTCGACGCGGAATGAAGGAACCAAGCCCTGAGACTCGCGTTTAGCAGAGTTCGAGAGCCGGTGTGTCGTCGTCTCCCCCACATGGACCTGCCGGCGGCGGTGGTGATGACGAACTTTTGCTCCGTCCTGGAAGATCCAGCCTCACATGACCATGCCAAACTCTTTTGTTCCCAAACCCATGCCAGCCCATATTTGAAAAGCACACACGGCCAAGACCATGGCCACGTCGTGTCATGTCCCAGAATTGCAAATAACCTTAATGGCTCATTTGCGTCGGGGTGTCTGCAAAACATCTAGAAGCTGACGACAACTGGCTGGACTAGGGACCCCTATGATCTGCGCAACACATGCCAACAAGGCCAGGCAGCGCTGTCTTGTCTCTACTACAAGTAGTAGTTACGTGCTAAATATAGTCGGTGACTGGTATACGAAATTTCGCGGAGCGTGTTTCTAGTCTGAAGCGACGGAGACTCTATCTCTCGTCTTCCTCTATTGTCATTCATGCTCTTCGTAGTGTCGTATTCTCTAACCGGTGGAATAGTTACTGCATGTTTCACATGAACCAAGGGGATTTTGCAAACGAACGTGGCTGTGAAGCGAAAAAGGGAAGAACAGACGTCAAGAAACAGGAACAGAAGACAGCAATTCCAGGGTCCATCCGAAAATAGCATCCAGGCTACGGAAGGCAGTGGGGAACCAACAGACCGAAAAAGGGCACATGGGAGGGTCCCGAAACAAGTTGAACAGGCACGAACGTCACCGAAGGAGCGTGGCCGCAGCAGTTTCAAGTTGACAGGCACAGGCACAGGCACAGGCACAGGCACGACACGAGAGACAAAGTGCCGCCCCTTGCCCTGTCGGCTGTGATGTGATGGGATGTGGACGGCATGGGACAAAATGGAGTCAGATCAGATCATTTGGAATGGGACGAGGACAGACTTTGGATCCTGCGAAACGCGGGTGAGGTGGGTTGTGCTCCATCCTGGCGGCCACAGCCACACAAGTGACGTCTTTTATCGAAGACAAGTAAGTACTTTCACATACCTTATACGCTGGGTCGTATTATTACTCAGGGTGCAGTGTTAGTTGCACCTCACTGATCACTCGGCTGAGCGACAAAACTACTAACTATCTAGGTAGGTGTTAGATCATTCGGTGATGACTTCATCGAAGAACCAAGCTGATGTTATGTACTCTCTGGGAGGTATTTAATTTGGAAGGCATCAATTCTCGTCCCTTCAAGTGCTTCAAAGTGTCTACTAGTAGTACGTAATCAAGAACCTTCATCCCACAAAAGCTCCCGAGAAAGAACCAATCAAAACGCCGCTAACCGGCGGTTCCCGACAGCCAATCGGCTACCAGCCCTGCCAGCAAATCTAGATCCCCTCTTCCCATTGGCCGGCTGTGGGGCCCTTTGATTCGGATCAACTGCAAGGCTCTCCGCAAGGCTTTCTGCCTCCTCTCGACACTCTATGTACCTTAAGACTTCGCAAACTCTCTGCCATTCGTTACCCCTGGTTCTGCATTATGTATTCCGTGTTCCAGACTTGGTCCTCTTTATTGCCGCCGCAACCAACTCTGATCAAGTTCGGTAATCGCCCGAATTAAGGGGGTCCCTACGTATTACCGGATTTGCGCATCTCTGCGGTCGGCAATGAACCCGACGTCCCGTTTTGCCGTGCTGCGGCCTGTTTTGGACGGTGATTGCTCGCCAGCTCCAGTCACTAGACGCCCTTGAAATGGAGTGGTTACCATGTACTACAGGCGTATGAGGTAAAATGGAGATGCTACTCCGTAGATGCTACCCCGACATGCAGCCCTCGTATCGCAGTGCCTCGTTACGGAGTCTTGGTCCGGAGCGGAGCCGCAGCGTCTAAGCCGTTGCTCGTTGTCCTGAAGCATATTGTATGCATGCGGTATCATCGTTGTTGAGAATAAATGTCACCATGAGTGACAGTGAGGTGTATGAACCATGACACCATAGCCACTCTCGTCTGTTTATATCTGAACCAAAAGAAAATACCATGCCATGCCCCTTTGCAATATCAAGCATTGGTGTATAAGGTAATCCTGTAAAAGAGTCGAGAGAGGAAGCGTTCTACCTAATAATAAGAGTATAGGCAAGGTAAGCACGATGCAGTTGTGCCAAAATCAAAAAAACTCCGTAATGATGCAATTCGTTCTCCAGGTCTCTCCTTCCCAGCCGGCACTCCTTTTTGTGTACCACGCAAATCAAACACGCCATCTAATGTCTTGTGGGTATGCCTTTTCTTTCCCTTTCCTCCAACATCAACCAAAATCTCTGCAACGTTCGATCAAATCACGTCCTCTCGCTCATAGCCCTCGGGCTTGAGCGCTGGCTTCGGAACCTCCCTGTCCTTGAATTTGCTGACAAAGGGGTTCGGATCCTCCTTTTGGTTGAGGTTGCCCAGGGTGTGGTTGACGCCTCTGTGGCTGGCCTCGTCGGCTCGGATGTACATGATCAGGTCCTTCATCGTCCGGTGGCCTTCCGGCATGCGCCAGTACTGCAATCACGCGTGTCAGCTGGTTGCTCCCATCAAATGCTCTTATTCGCGTCTGTGTCACTAACCTGGACGGCAATATCAGGAATCCGAAAGTTGGGATTGCTCCACTTGGGCAGGTGGCCCTCTTCAATCTCAAGAATGGCTCGAGTGTACGTGTGCACCGCCTCCTCCTCCAAATATCCGACGAAGCGATGGACAATCTTGGGGTGGAGCAGGTAGGCCACGAAGAGGCTGTTGAAGAAGACGCCCTGGGCACCGATGATCATGAGCTTCATAAACCAGCCGGGCTCGCACATGGTCATGAACGTCAGCAGGTGCATGCGCTCGTTGTAGCTCTCCTCAAGGAGCGTCTCGATCCAGCCGTTGTCGCGCTTCATGTACCGGAGGCTGCTGAGATGGCGGAGCATTCCGCCCACCATGCCTGGGACACCGGCAATGCTTTCGAGGAAGACGAATCGAACGAGCTGTTTGCATAAGTTAGCCATCCATTCACTGCATGCTACAGACAATCATCCAGGATAAGGGGGTCATCATACCCACTGCGCCTCTGTCAGTGGCTTCTCCGCCTTGACGGAGGTCGTCGGATGCTTCTTGTCCACCTGCTGCTCCCGGTCCATGCCCGTGGCCTTGTCCATAAAGTACCTCGCCAGCCGCACAATCTTCCACGCAGCCCAGTCGCCGAAACCACGGGGCGGACGATGCGACGGCGTTACCTGCTGGAGCTCCTCGATCGTGAAACCGGGATGGGGCCATGCCGGCGGCGTCTTGATGATGTGGGGAGTGTCCTTGGCAGGGAAGAAGTCGCGGAGCTGGGAGACGGGCGTCGTTGAGAAGGCTCGGGCGGTCTGGCCGGAGAAGAGGCGAGAAGTGCACACCGGCCGGCTGGTGGATGCGAGTGTCCGTGTCAGTGCCGGGTGGCCGGCGAGGCGGCAGCTGGCATGGCTGTTGGCCACGACTTTGGCAAGCTTGACGGCTTGTCTGGGGGCGTCGGTCTTGGTGTAGGTCATGTCGGAACTTGTACTATGTGAAGCTATAAGCTTTGGAGGAAAGTTATATGGTTCAACGACAGGTAATGATGGTCATGAAGACACATGTGAGCATGCACCCCCCCCTCTGGGCTCGGGGCGCCTGAATTTATACCAGCCCCCCTTACATGCTAAGACGAGTCAGAATCTTGGAAATAACAACGGGAAAACAGACATCTTACACGTCGGACCGCGTATTACCAGAAAGTCAATCGGATATCCCCTTACCGGACCTGTGCCACCCTCTCCCACCGTTTTCTCTCACTTGTTTACCCGCCGTTCCTTGCTAATCCGCACCCGGGTAGGCGGGTTCGCCGTGGATGAGCGCCGGCATCGTCGATGCATGCAAGGCATCCAATTGGGGCGAAAATCACCAACCCGTAATTTTCTCTTTTCCTGCCTCTGGTGCAGTGCCTGAGGGTCATCTGCCAGGTGGAAATTTCAGAAGGCAAATGCTTGCTTCTCTCACCCTTTCAAGGCTCTCGGCATTGCTCAAGACGACGAAGTCCGAGGCGCTGCGTTAGGCTAGTCGGGACCTTTCGGGTTGTAGCGACACTGTCTTGTCCCCTTTTTTGCTATGACTCTTCTTCTTACGTGCTTACATACTCACCCGCTGCTGTTCAGGTGAGTTGCTCTTTTTCCGGTTCATTTTCGATTCTTCATTTCGGTCTGCGAAAAGTACCTGGACAGATGAAATCATAACCTGCTCTTTTGTTCTCTCAAGTGTATGTACTAGGATATTCTCGAGACTCCAGTTTCTCGTTTCTTTCTCGGGGTCCCGGGGTCCTGGTTTCTCCTCGGGCCATGCATGATGACAGCTTGGACTTGTAATGGAAGCCTTTGGCGAAGCCGGAAATAGAAGAAGAATTTCCAGTTGCCTTCCTCGCATACGGTAGACAAATACAGTTTGGAAGCGTGCTACGGTACCGTAAAGGGAATCTTCTGCAGCGATGGATTCTGTCTTGTCCTCATTAGCTGGGCAACAAGCTCCATGCGCGGCGGCATGGACGACGGACGGCATGCGGCAGTCGGGCGCTAGGAACTCGTTTCTTTTAATTCCGAATTGGCAATCGAGGCCTCTTCATTGGCTTTCTATTTATATGATATCATTTTCATCAAATTTCTCTGCGGCTCTCGGGCCGTATACGAAATAGAACGCTCTTATTCTTTTGTTCTATGGAGCACATGCGAGTTGTCATTGTTCCATTATTCTGTTCTTCGCTTATACGGCTATACGGCTATCTTGGGTTGACAACAACTCAAAATCATCAAGCGGTAAATCCTCGTAGAGCCACAGGGCGGTATCAGTGAAATCCGAGGAGATGTATACAGGAGGCGAGCTATCGAGTATAAGGTAGGCTTTGTTTGGCAACAATTCATAACAGCGCTTATTCCATGCCGCGGAGTTCAGAAAAGCTACGCTACCTTACCTTACCTTGGTATCGAAGCCACATCGCGGTTGTAAATAGTACATTCAATGAGCTAGAACATTGTCGATGCTCCATTTTACGTCGAAGAGAATAAAGCAGCGAAAAAGTCATTGCACCTTTTATTTTGATGGAGCACGAGTGAGTCAGAGATTTCACTTTATTGCGATTTTTACCGAGTTCTTCTTTTTCTGTGGCTACCTTTGCCATCTCCCGTCTTATTTTCTACCTAGCAAAAAGAGAAAAACCGGAGCCTTGTTTTGCGGCGAACCGTGCGGCGCAAAAGCGGCACGGCATACGGAGAACCGGGTATGGAATACGGAGCACCGGTACCCATTTTTTACATCCTGGACCCGAGTCAGTATAAACGAAGGGAAACATCGCCAGAATTTGCAAGGTTCTGATAATCCAATAAGGGGACAAAGAATCAAAGGGTATCTCAACGTACCTCTCCAGGGGCGTCAAGCCAAGCAGCTTCATGCCGTTGGCCAGCACGATCCGCGCGGCGTCGTACAGCGCCATGCGGGCCTTCATCAGCTCCTTCTCGCTGCCCACCACCTGCAGGTGGTCGTAGCTGCTGCTCACGGCGTGCGACATCTTGAACAGATAAGTGAGCACCGTCGTGGGCTCCAGCGTCTTGAGCGTGTTCTGGACCGTGTCGGGGTACTGCGAGAGCATCCGCACGACGTTGACGGCGTGCTGCTCCGTCAGCAGGGACAGGTCCGCGCTCTGCAGCTCCTCGTCGGTCAGGTTGGCGCGGCGCTTGATGGAGCAGAGTCGCGAGTGGGCGTACTGCAGGTACGGGCCCGTGTCGCCCTCGAACGAGGTCATGGCATCCATGTTGAACGTGTAGTTGTTGATCCTGGAGCATTCATCGATGAGCACGGTCAAGTTACACCCATCAGGCTTGGACAACTCACCTCTTCCCGCTCATGTCCTGGACCATGACACTGCTGATGCCCAGGATATCGGCCGTAGCCTCAGGGTTTTCAACTTGAGCGTACTTCTCCTTGTTCTTCTTCATCGTCTCGTGCATGTGGTCTGCGCAGTCCCTCAAGATGTCGTCCAAGCTGTTGCACTCTTATGTCAGCCAACTCTTACAAGCCAATTGCCGTGGCTGAATTGTGGGCGGATACTCACAACTTGACGGTGCCTTTCCTGGTGCTCATGCCCAGAACCAGGCCAAAGTTGATGTGCTGGCAACGGTCCGCAATATCCTTGTAGCCAAGCAGCTTGACAATCTCGAAAAGCTGCTTGAGGTGAAGATCCTGTGCACTCGCCACGACGTAGATCATCTTGTCGTAGTTGTAGGTTTCGTACTGAGAACTGTCAGCGGCCTTGTTCCAGCTCTTGAGAGAAAAGAATATCCATCAAGACACCAGAGAGGGAAGTTGACTTACTCGGGAAAGCAACTCGCAGACGTCGCGGGTAAGGTACAAGGCAGTACCGTCCCTCTTTCTGTTATCCAAGTCATTAGAAGAATGTCACGGGAGAAGTAAGTCTTCGAAACATACCGGATGACCGCTACGCCCAGTCGCTTGCCCTCCTTGCCAGGGAGAAGCTGGGTAAAGTCCACAAGCACGGCGCCATTGTCCACTCGGGAGATTTTCTTCTCCTCCATCTCCACAGCAAGCTTGGCCATGGCCTCTTCTGAGACTTGGCTCTCACCTACGAGGAGTTAGTCTTATTCATCTATCAACGACGGCGACTATATCTTACCGCTGTACTTGTCAAAGGTGATGTTAAGTCGTGCATAGGTTTCTACCAGCTGCGTTAGTATAGTAGAACCAAGAACAGGGCCCCAATGTGCAAAATCTCACTCTTGTATCGCTCAATGCTGAGGTCCCGGAAGGTTTGCCACTGCTTGAGCACCTCCGGATCTCTATCAGTCTAGACATATATCATCATTAGCAACGAAGAACCAATACTAGAGCACACCAATCACTTACCATGCGCTTAAAGTACCGACGAGCTTGCTCGTCAAGGCTGTTGGCTTCGAGCTCAGTGACGTCCTTGCCCTCTTTCTTTTGCGCCTCGATGGCCTCCTTCTCTGCAGTCATCTCGCCGTTAATCTGCACGTAGAGCTTGAACAGATGGTCGATGGGGTCCTTCTTAAGCGCCTCTTCGTTGCCGTACTTTTCATACGCCAGAGCCAGCAGTCCATACTGCTTACCCCAGTCTCCCAGGTCTGCAGGGTAACATTAGCACATACACTTTTTACACTCGTCTCTTTTTCTTTTCGTGATAGGATGACATATGGCTGGACCACTCACAGTTCATTCGAATCACGTCCCAGCCGCTGCCCTCGTAGAGGTTGGCCAAGAAGCTACCGATAATGGTTGATCGGAGATGGCCGGCATGGAAGGGCTTGGCAACGTTGGGAGAGCTGAACTCGACGACCTGCACAGCGATTAGCATCCGATCGGTAGCATTCCTTGGGGGCTGGATGGGAATTACAATGCGCTTCTTGCCCTGGCTAGGGTCCTTGGGGTCCCTCAGGCCGTTGAATCGGTTACGGCCTGGAAGCAGTCGGTCAGTTTTCACTCCTTAGTAGAAGACATGTAAGTGAATGCTCACCATATTCTTCACCAAGACTTCGGATCATTGGGATCAGGGACTTGGACAGCGGGGCTCCCTTGACGAAGAATGACATGAAGGGGCCGCTTGTTGTGGGCTTGTCAAACAGGGCGTCATCTTGCGGGAACTGTGCCATATGACTGTTAGATTTATGAGTGACGACAAGTCGAATTCAAAAGTATACCTCTTCAGCCCACTTGCTGGCGAGGGCATCCGGCTTTTGGCCCTTGAGCCTCAATGCGGGAACAGCAAGGACAAAGTCGCCCTTGTCGAGGCCGGTTGTCCAGTTGATGGCGGGATATACGATCTGGGCGTCCACGCCGGAGATGCCTGCCAGGACGTTGCTGAGATGCGCCCTGTAGAAATCCAGAGGGTTGATTTCAGGGTGAGCCTGGGGGTACTTTTCGGTGACGGCGCCGAGCGTCAGGCCGTTGACCAAGCTCGTGAGCTGGTCGATGCCCGCTGTCTGCGCCATGGTTGCGATGCCTCTGGGGCGGTAGAAGGTGGATGGGATATTCTTTTTCAAGGGAGTCCTGCAGGTGCTCAAGGCTGAATATGAATATTTCGGCTCACGCAGGGTCGTCAGAGGCCTGGCCGCGCTGGTCAGTGGCTGCTGCAGAAGCGATGGCGCAGTCCACGCAGGGACGAGACTTGGTGTAAGTGTAAGACGGTGACGGTGACTCCTTTGACTGAAAGTGAAGGAAACCCGGCAACTCTTCATGGGGAGACGGTACCTGTGACTCAGTTCTGTCTGGTCCTAGCAGGAACTGGGAGGTTGACCAGAATGCGTCCCCACCATGATTCGCATAAGAGGTTGTTGGTGGGGGTTTGTCGCTGGAATTTTTGCACGGTATTTCGTTCCGCCGGTGTTCCGCACTTTAAATCAAGCACATGTACATACACGTGGAACACTGCTGCTTTCATCGAACTTGAGGCATGAGCAGTTGGGATGTGCGGAGTAAGAACAAGATATGAACAGTATCTTACTGATTGGATCTATTGTTTCATCTACTCTATACTACATAGTTCATGCTCAGACAAGTAGGGTGGCGTCCGAATCTGTTCAACCATGAAATTCATCAACATGGTGGAGGGGCACTTGTAGGTAGTATGCTTCACGTCTTCTGTGTTGTAAGTGAGAGAGCCCTCAGTTGAATGACACTCTTTCTGTGTATAATTTATAGGTACACTGTCTATCCCGTTGGACATCAAAGAGCACATGTAAAATTCGTGTTACTAGTGTCCGCAGCCAAAAGTCAAGAAAGAAGAGAATGAGAAAATTGCCCAGCCAACCGTTGCGCCTCAAGCCAAAAAGTTTTGCCCCTCCGCAGCCTTTGGAACCCCGCCATGAAAATCTATGTATGTACGTACTCGTACACCAACAGAAGCCAAATCGATTCGATCCATCTTCCACGCAAATCCATCACCGCTTCCGCGATCACCGCCAGCCTCACCCGCCGCGCTCCCTCCTGCGACGGTGCAAAACAACGGCCTGACCATCTATCTACCTTTCGACCGACTATCGAATAACCTGCAAACATGCCTCCCAAGAAGTGGGGTGAGTGACCGAAGCTGCACGGCGCACACTTTGCCGGCAAAATACCGCCAGCGCTGAGTCTTGTTGCGCATACGACACGCCAGAGTCAACGGCCATGGCGGCCCATGTATGAGGCAATTCAACTGATTGTATCTCTTGTGGAACAGAAGACGAAGAGAGCGATGGCGGCAACGACTCTGCCCCCGGTTCCCCCATCATAACCGGCGCCCGTCGACGCCAGTTTGAGGACGAAGAAGACGAGGGCGATGTGAGTACCTCGCCCACTGCCGCCAGCGGACAGCCCTTTCGACGATGTCACTGATGTCTAACCCCGTCGTCGAACCCATGCAGGTCCTCGACTCCTGGGACGCCGCCGAAGACTCCGAGGTCGAGCGCGAAAAGGCACGCAAGGCCGCCGAGGCCAAGGAAAAGGCCGCCGCTGCCGCCGCCGCCGCGAAGAAGCCCAAGTCCCAGCGCATCGCCGAGCACCGCGCCGAGCGCGCCCGCCTCCAGGCCGAGGACGAGTCGGAGAGCGAGGAGGAGACGGAGGCCCAGCGCCGCGAGCGGCTCCGCCGCACCGAGCAGGACGCCGACCTGAAGCACGCCGAGGACCTGTTTGGCAGCATCGGCATCAGCGACGGGCGCAAGGCCAACCCGTCGGGCACCATGATTCCGGACCCCAACAACCCGACCAACCTCATCAACCTCGCCGCGGTGCCCGTCTTCAACCCCCAGACCAAGGCGCAGTTTGAGAAGATGAGGGCGCTGCTCACGCCGCTCATCACCGCCAACAGCAAGAAGGCTCACTACGGCCTCTTCCTCGAGGAGTTTGCCAAGGAGCTGGTCAAGGAGCTCAACAGCGACCAGATCAAGAAGATTGCCAGCGCCCTGACCCGCGCCAGCAACGAGAAGCTCAAGGAGGAGAAGTCGGGCGACAAGAAGAAGACCAAGGCTGCCAAGACCAAGACTTCGCTGGTCACTACCCGCGCCAATGCTGCCGACACGGCCACCTATGACGATGACGCTTTTGGAGAGTAAGTGTGACATTTGACCTCTGCTTATGAACTCATCTGGCTCCTTGGATTCTTCTTGTCTAAATACAATTATGCTAATTTCTCTTCTCCCTATAGCGACGACTTTATGTGAACGGGTCCCAATCAGCACGCATGATTCAAGCGTTTTGCAGGAAGGAAAAGAAGAGCGGAACAGGCGACTGCTAGAACAAGCATCATATTGGTAACCCCCGGCGTATTGCTCTCTTCAGTCATCGAACAAAAGTGCGGCGAGACCTTTGGTTTCCCTGGACTACCGTGCCCTCGACGCAGGGCATAATGATTACCACCATCTTCATTCAGTGGTTTATCTGAGCACGGCTCAGCGTGGGCGCTAGGCTGACCATCCTATTCGACCTGGACATTTTTTCCTCAAGATTGGACGAATTTCACGGGATCGTTTTAGAATGAATGGGCGGCGGGATCTTTTTAGAATGGAAAGCTGTCTTTTGTTTTTGTTTCCTTCTACATAGCGGTTGGGCCAGGATGAAGGGTATAATAAACTTGGTCCATCGGGTATACCACCAAAAGTTGAGGCTAGAATAAAAGATGCCATTTTCTTCACTTCTACACTGCTCCCCTTTATATATCAAATTTACTGATCCTTTCATCTTTTCAGAGTGGTTCTTTCTTTTTTGTATTTGCACTGCTCCAGTGGATGAGAGGCTAGGGTATCAGTTATAGATGGCCTCTCAAAAGGAAGCAATACATGATTTTCTTCTCATCAGAGGACAAAAACAAAAGTCCATAAACAAGTCCACTTCCCCAGTCGCCAAGAAAATGCCCGGAGTGATAAAGCCCGTATAACAACGCCATCGTAAAAGTCCGTCATGTGCCGCCCCGTCCCGTCGTGATTTGTAAATATACAGCAATTCTACAGGAAACCTCCGCGTCCATCCCCCCTTTTTTTTCTTGGAACAAGCAAAGGACCAAGCCTAACCCTTGGTGCTCTTCTGCTTTCCCCTGTTTAGACCACGTTTCCGGCCATGCCCATGAACAAGGCATGGATGGCCAGAGACAGCGTCCAGAATCCGACCTTGCGGAACCGCCTGACGCGGCTCTGCTGATCCTCCACGTCCTTTGCGAAAGCCTCGTACGTCTCGGCGGAAGCATCGTCCAGAAGCCCACAGTCAAAGACGGTCCAGCTTCCGTCAAAGTCGCTGAGGGGCTTGATGATGCGGCTCGAGATGGGAATGTACGTCTTCTTAGCGTTGATATAGGCCACAATGGGGCGAACGAGAGCCTGGTTGACGTAGGATAGGTCGCGGGTGAACAAAGGCACGGCGGCCTTGACGTCGTTGAGGTGGATGCGCAAGTCCACAATGACGAGGCGTTTGTCCTCCTCGGCTTCGTTTGCCTGTTTCTGGGCCTTCTTTTCGCTCGTTGAGCGCTCGCTCTCCGAGACACTCTCAGGTGCAGGGGCTCTCGGCAAGAAGCGATAGCGATGCGCCATGACTGTGCCCTCGAGCTGGTCGTAAAAGTCCGTTACGACCTTGGTGATGCTATCGTCCATATCCTCTGGAAACATGACATCAGCAACAATGTCGACGTTCCCTTCGTAAATCCAGCCAAATGGCCCTTCCACTCCACGGTTCAAGTGGTCAATCTTCAAGCCATCGATTCGCAACCGGTTAAACTTCTTCCACCCTTTGGATTCGTCCAGCCCCATCATGACACCCTGGTATCGACTGGAGACTGTGCCGTGAACTTGTCGCGGATGGATCGTAAAGAGAGAGCCATCAAAGGACCCAGACATGTGGCTCGCGGAGAGGAAATCGTAGAAAAGCCATTGCTTTCGCAGTCGGGGCAGTTCGCAGGAATATATGCTGACTGAGAAGGGGCGGAAGCCGTCGGGCTGGCGAATAGTGAGCAAAAGGTCTTCCAATTTGAAAGATTCTATCTCAAAGTCGCCCGGCTGATGTTTGTGCCGATAAGACAATGGATCAACCTGCTCCTGAGGCCAGCGGACAGAAGTGCGGTCGATGACTCCTCTTACACCATTCACCTCAACGTCCTTGAGCAGCCCCTTTCCATTCCACCAGTTGAGAAAGGAGAGTGTGACATTGACATTGGCAATTGTCACGTCGAATTGGGTGTAGTTGCCGTCATCCTCGGGAGTAGCGTCCTTATGCGGGACCTGTCGCCCTGCAGCGGCCACGGCAGCAACGGCGGCAGCGTCGGAGGAGCCCTTGCTGACGGATGATTCAATCTGCCCAGGCCGTCTCGAGACGAAGACGTTGCGAAATGCGATGACGCCGTTCTTCCACTTGGGAACGATGGCCGACTCGAAGACGACGGTAACACCAGCCGACTGGGTGAGATAGTCTCCAACCCACCGCGCGAGCGTTTCTGGACATGCGTTAGCCTTCCGAGAAGCATATTGGAGAGTGACATCTTGGACATACCCTGAGCAAAAACCGTGTTGATGGAGAAGATGAGGATGGAAAAGAAAGTCGTGGTGCCCACCAGAATCCAGACGATATGACCCAACATGAACCAAGACACGAAAGCACCCCATTCGTCAATGTTCCAAGGCCGCATGCTCCTGATTGAAACCCACTTGAACCGGACCTTGAACCGCTCCCAGAACCCGTTGGCAGCCGCCAACAGCTCTTCTTTTGTGGGACGGTGAGGCAGCGTTGGGAGGTTTAGGTATTTCGACATTGATGTCGCTATTGATTCATGATGCTCGTGGCCCTTTGGCTCGGCTCCAGTCTGCTCGTTGATGTTGCTTTTGGACGTAGTTCCCGGGCTTTGATGAGCTCCTGCGGCGGATTTGTGGCCATCCAGCTGGCTCTCAGCACTCTCTCCGACATCCTTCTTGCCGTTTGCGCCACTGCTGCTATACTGGCCGCTCTGGAGTAACCACCGCGCAGAGCGCTGAGAGACACTGAGCGATGCTCGATGCCTGTCCAGGATGCTCACAGCAGCGAAGCGCCGAGGGCTACCATGCAGAGGCAGCTGAATGCCCAGCCCGATGAACGTTGGCGAGTGATGGCCATCCTTCCCATACGCCAGCTTTGACGGCCGAGGCCCTGGCTTCTGCGTGTGCAGCGGCGCAAGAGCTACTGATCGACTCGACAAGGTCACGGCATGTGGAGTTGTCCATATTGGAGGGGTTTGAAAGCGGCATGGACGATGGCGGCGCACAATCAGCCATGGTGAGATGCCCTTAGACATGCTTAAGGCTCATGGCGACCAGCGATCCGGAGGCGGTGCGCCAGATGAAAGGTAAAAAGTCGATTGGAGCAATGGAGCAGCGCCTTCGGAACCTCAAGACGAAAAAGACGCTGGGAATGCAAAGTTCCCCGAATCAGTTGGTGGACTGCAGGACTGAGCCAAAGCAGGGCGGCGTTGGAAGCAAAAGTCATTGCATGACGCGCCACTCACGTTTTGCAGTTCCCGGTGTGGCTGGCCAATCGATAAGCGGCGATAGCTCGTCCACAAATTTTTTGAGCGCGGCGGCAGAAACCAGCAAGGTGTGGCTTGTCCGCCTGCGAACCCAGCAGCATAACCGCTTTTTTTTTCTTCCTGGACCCTAGAATTTTTGGACGACGACAAAGGGACGGGATCATCGCAACGAAACACTGGCGGTCTCTTTGACGCTTCATCTACCACTCAACTCATCTACACACTTCGAGCAACAAAGGGTCGATTAGAGGCCTGTCCTGCCCGTCAGCATCATGCCTGCTCCCACAGCCCTCAAGAAGACCGAAAGCACCCCGCTTGTCGCAGATGTGCCATCACCAGCTCAGGGTACATATTATGCGAATGGATTTCAATCGTAGCAGGAACATCGAGCTTACTCGTACACAGACAATGACCAGGAGTTCCTGCTAGACGCCCCCGACGCTGCTGTGGCCGAGGCTGAAGTCATCGTGCCCGAGACGACAGACGCAAGCAACAGCATGGCTATTGATGAAGAGGGACGACCTCGCTTCGCCCCGTCCAAAGATATCGTACGCTGAAACCACCATCTCTCGGGTCTGTCATTGGTTCATCTTCTAACTCTGCTGCCTAGGACCCCATGACGAGAGTCGAGACACGCAAGATTCCCATCCCGCCGCACCGAATGACGCCGCTGAAGCAGGCGTGGCCTTCCATCTACCCTCCCATCGTGGAGCACCTCAAGCTGCAGTGCCGTATGAACATTGCGCGGAAAACGGTCGAGCTGAGGACTTCCAAATCCACGGTGGACTCCGGTGCGCTGCAAAAGGGCGAGGATTTCGTCAAGGCCTTCACTCTTGGATTCGACGTCGACGACGCCATTGCTCTTCTGCGACTAGACGACCTTTACATCGAGACCTTTGAAATCAAGGACGTCAAGACCGTCCACGGAGACAGCCAGAGTCGTGCCATCGGCCGAATTGCTGGCCACCAGGGAAAGACCAAGTTTGCCATTGAGAACGCCAGCCGGACGCGAATTGTGCTGGCCGATTCCAAGATTCACATCCTGGGTGGCTTCAAGAACATCCACATGGCCCGAGAATCCGTCGTCAGCTTGATTCTCGGAAAGCCCCCCGGAAAGGTCTATGGCAACCTGAGAACGGTTGCTGCCAGGATGAAGGAGCGTTTCTAGGTGGGATTGGACAAGCATCTGCGGTAGTCTTGGCGTTCAGGCGGGGATATCTTTCATGATTCATGTCTTTTTTTTTTTTTTTCCTTTGGCGGATTTGGTGGTCTATATCTCTATGTCGGAACTGTTCTTCTGTATGAAGCTTTCTTTGCAATGGCAGTCCATCTCCTGTTTGCCGAATTGGTTCAATAAGGGAACCAAGCGGAGTGATATAGACTGCAGTTCATGTGCCTTGACAAGCGGCCAATGAGTCAAAATGAAAAGCCTTATTTTCTGCTCATAACTACCAGTTCGATGGGTATCATAGCTTGTGTGAAAAACAAAGTCGGGGTGTTCCGTGAGTCCGTCCTGGATTGCCAACTCCTTGACGCCAAACGGGCCGATAAAGACGTCCCTCCCCTGGACGCTCGACAGCCTTGCTGGCCGTCGTAAGCACTCAAATTCGACCCGATCTCGCTTCGAGTTCTAGTTCTGTCGAGGCTTGATCATGCCCTCCTGCACGATGTAGTAAACAACGGTAGAGTCGTTATGCAGCGCAGCGAGGACAATGCGCTTCGCCCTCTTGGGAGCCTCCGGGAGGGCGTCCATGACGGCGGCAAGGCTAGACAGCGTCCACTTCTCGGCGAGATGGACGGCCAGCACCCATTCGAACTCGGCGTCGTGCTGAGCCCTTGTCCCTGTTGCCTTTTCATATGCAAGCGCTGCTATCTGGTCGTCGGGGTGGAGATACAAGAGGCGTGGCGGGAGGCCGCGGATCATTGGCCGCGACAGGCCTGGGAGGCGATGGATTTGCAGCTCAGCCCATTGGTGCTGGTCTTGCAGGTTCTGAAATACCGCAGAGGCGACATCGGCCGCGAAATGATGTGACGCATCCATGTAGTCTGTGAGAGCTCAAACAACTTGTAGCAGTAGCAGTGAGAGAAATGACGAGAGCCTCAACAGAGAGAAGCGCGGGCTGCCAATCGCTTCTTCTTCGTCTTCGGTTTGCCCGCATCAGGCCAAGCCGCCGCTGCGTCGCGATAGAAACTTTTTCGCTGAGAGGCCGGAGAAATAGGACTAGCGTTTCTCGCTGTCTACCGATTCACGTAACCCGGCAGGCAAGTGGCCCAATTATTACCTCACAAGCACCCCAGCTGCGCCTGCCCTGCCGGTTGAGAGCTCCGTTTCTTGTTAGGTAACTAATAATACAGGTAGTAATCCAGTTATCTGCAAAGGAAGGCATGACCTTGCCCCACCCCGTCGCCCATCGCTCTCTTGGACCCCTCCATTTCTCTCAACAACAAAAACACCATCCTTCTTCCTTTTCCCTCCCTACGATTCTCTCGACTTGCTCAATCAGCCTCACTGCAAGAGCCTGAGACCCCCCAATCAATCTCTACATCACAGGTACGGCGCTTCCCTCTATTGTCTCTCTACAAGAAGCAGCACTCGGTCTCTGTCGTCCAAGCTTCTGCCCCTCTTTCCCGTTTCAGCCTTTCCAGCTACCCCTCCATTGGGAGCAGAGCTGCTGAAAGACGCGGCGTCAGGCGGAACGTGTTGAGGCATATTCCACTATACTTGCCTCGCTCCTCTGGACGGATTTCGTTGTCCGCGGGAGCTCACGTATATTAGAGGAAAGATGCAATGCCACAACTTCGCTCCGTCCTTTCGCGGGCTTCGTCGTCGATGTCATATAATCGCCCAGCTACACCTACCTCCTAAATCAGCTTCGATTCGACTCGCTAACAGACATTGGTCCGTCTAGCAACCTGAAATAGCTTCAAAATGGCCATTACCAAGGTTCACGCTCGCTCCGTCTACGACTCCCGTGGCAACCCCACCGTGGAGGTCGACCTCGTCACTGACACTGGCCTGCACCGCGCCATTGTCCCCTCCGGTGCCTCTACCGGTTCGTCTCCCCGATTCCTCTCCAACCATGCCGTATAGCTGCAGAAAGTAACCGGAATGATTACAGGCCAGCACGAGGCTGTCGAGCTTCGCGATGGCGACAAGGCCAAGTGGGGTGGCAAGGGTGTCACCAAGGCCGTCGAGAACGTCAACACCATCATTGGCCCCGCTCTGATCAAGGAGAACCTTGATGTCAAGGACCAGTCCAAGGTCGACGAGTTCCTCAACAGCCTTGACGGCACCCCCAACAAGGGCAAGCTCGGTGCCAACGCCATCCTCGGTGTCAGCTTGGCTGTCGCCAAGGCCGGTGCCGCTGAGAAGGTAAATGCTCATGGTTAGGCGCCGCGGTTGATGAGCAGAAGCTGATTGGAGACAGAACGTTCCCCTGTACGCCCACATCTCCGACCTGGCCGGAACCAAGAAGCCCTATGTCCTTCCCGTTCCCTTCATGAACGTCCTCAACGGCGGGTAAGTCTACGCTCTATGCCCCACAACCCTTACTCAACAGCAGTCTCTGACTATGAATCTAGTTCCCACGCCGGTGGCCGTCTTGCCTTCCAGGAGTTCATGATTGTTCCTTCGTAAGTCGCCAGCGATATTTCCGTCCGTAAACCGGCAAAGTCATCTAACGCAAAACAACAGAGAGGCTCCCAGCTTCTCCGAGGCCCTTCGCCAGGGGTCCGAGGTCTACCAGAAGCTGAAGACCTTGGCCAAGAAGAAGTACGGCCAGTCCGCTGGCAACGTTGGCGACGAGGGTGGTGTCGCTCCCGATATCCAGACTGCCGACGAGGCTCTCGAGCTCATCACCGACGCCATTGAGCAGGCCGGCTACACTGGCAAGATGAAGATTGCCATGGACGTTGCCTCCAGCGAGTTCTACAAGGAGGACGCCAAGAAGTACGACCTCGACTTCAAGAACCCCGACAGCGACCCTACCAAGTGGATCACCTACGAGGAGCTCGCCGCCATGTACTCCGACCTCTGCAAGAAGTACCCCATTGTCAGCATTGAGGATCCCTTTGCTGAGGATGACTGGGAGGCCTGGAGCTACTTCTACAAGACTCAGGACATCCAGATTGTCGGTGATGACCTGACTGTCACCAACCCCATCCGCATCAAGAAGGCCATCGAGCTCAAGGCCTGCAATGCCCTCCTCCTCAAGGTCAACCAGATCGGTACCTTGACTGAGTCTATCCAGGCCGCCAAGGACTCGTACGCCGACGGCTGGGGCGTCATGGTCTCCCACCGATCTGGTGAGACTGAGGATGTCACCATTGCCGACATCTCTGTCGGTATCCGTGCTGGTGAGATCAAGACTGGTGCTCCCGCCCGATCTGAGCGTCTGGCCAAGCTTAACCAGATCCTCCGTATTGAGGAGGAGCTCGGTGACCTTGCCGTCTACGCTGGCACCAACTTCCGCAACGCCGTCAACCTGTAAATGGCCATGAGAGACCACTATCAAAAGCAAGGATGCCCGGAGAATTGACTAATATGGGCGTATCAAATAAAGTAAAATAATGATTATACAGACACGCCCATACGGCGGATGAAAAATGAAATGAGCTGAATGATGACCAACTTTTTCACATGATGATGCTCTGAAATGCCTGTAGAATGTGAAGTCACAGCTCGACCGACGCCGCTGTCTTGCATGACGCAGCTCTTACAAGAGTCTCCGTTGACTCGAGTCAGCAGCAATCTTCAATACCTTACCTGCCCGTTGATGCTTCATATTGCTTTACTAGTACTTGCATGAACCTCTATGGATGGTGGCTTCACCGGCGCCAGTTAGTGCCCAAGTGCTGCCAAGTACTCAATACCTTTGAGTGGGGACAAAAAACATTTCATTACACTCAAATGGGCCCTAGCGCCTGGGCTTGACAGCGAAGACGACAGAAGGTGGAGGGGTCCTGATAAAGTACAGAGTACTTCGGGATTGTTGCCAAACAAACATCACCAGAGCAACGCGGGGTCGAAAACACATGCCACCAGACGCGGCAGCGTGAAACTAAATCACGTAGCAAGTTGATCAACATCCGAAGGGACTCTTATTGAATAATTGAATATCCTGGAATTGTCCCTCGTCTGGCTTCAGGTATCATTTCTCGTTCTCAACTAGGGAAGGAAGCGCGTCATTCTGACGAATCGCAGAGGCTTTCGGCATCCGCATCAATTCCAAAGGCCACACAGGGTTACCGCCCTTGACCGTGAAGCAGCATGGCGGGCTCAGAGGACATCACCGACTTCGAGGTGATTGAGAACCAGAAGGAAAACATCCAGTCCCTGCCCGGCGGCCGTTCCGCGAGGAAGCTGGCCGGCCTCTTCTCTTCTCCTCTCCACAAACTGTCCACGCCGACACCGACCGACACGAGAAACATCAACGACGCCATCCGCGCAGAATTTGAGGCGGAAATCGACAACTTATCCGAATCCGACGACCCCTTGGATGTGTTTGACAGATATGTGCGCTGGGCGATCGACGCGTATCCATCAGCGCAGGCGACGGCCGAGTCACAACTGCATACGATCCTCGAGCGCGCGACGAAGGCGTTCATCAGCTCCTCTCAGTACAAGAACGACCCCAGGTACCTAAAGCTGTGGATGTACTACATACAGCTGTTCTCCGACACGCCTCGCGAGACGTTTCTGTTCCTCTCTCGGCACGGAATCGGCGAAGGCTTGGCCCTGTACTACGAAGAGTACGCTGCGTGGCTCGAGGGTGCAGGTCGATGGGCGCAAGCAGAGGAAGTCTACAAGCTCGGAATCGAGCGAGAGGCGCGGCCAGTTCAGAGGCTGCTGCGCAAGTTCAAGGAGTTTAGCGAGAGGCTTGCTCAACATCCAGACGCACTGGCAGAGCCCGCGTCACCAGCTCTGCCCACCGTCCGTCCTGCGCTGGCCAGCAAGACGGATCCCTTTGCGAGCTCGTCACACCCAGTCGACCCACAGGCTCCTAGGCAGACAAGTGGCATCGGCGGGAGCTCGTCTCGGCCTGCAAAGTCCAAGATGGCCATCTTCTCTGATGCCGATGCTCAACAGCCCGCCATGTCGTCAAGAGATGCAGCATCCAAGGGCTGGGATAGCATTGGATCACTGGCGGATCGGAAGAAGGAAAACACGATGGAACCGAAGCCGTGGGTGGGAGAGACGCTCAAGGCGGGCGGTAGGAAGCCCGCGGCTGGGGGAGCCAAGCTGGCAGTGTTCAGGGATCCGGTATGTAACCCCCCTTGACCACGATACAACGTGCAGCCTGTTGATGAGAATAGGACTAATTCATTTGCCGTCATGGTCGATTCGTGTAATTCAGTCCCTTGCTCAAATACAAAATATTGTTGTTGTTCCGTCCAAGCATCAAGTAACGGTACATCCGCAGACGGGGAAGAAGGAGTACATCTTCGTTGACCTTGCAGCCGTATATCCAACCCCTGAGGAACCCGGTACAGAGCTGAGTTTCGAGGAGATTATTGCCGCACATCGTGGCTGGCTCGACCGCGTGTGGGATACTGAAATGGCGACTGAGGACTACGCTCCAGATCGCATGGTGCCGCTACGTGATATGGAACAGGCGACGACAGAGCAGCTGGTTAATCACCAAGATTACGACCCAATGGACCTCGATGAGAATGGCGTCGCACAAGAGAAACCTCGAGAACCCCGTGCGGGTAGGAGAAAGAAGATGATGGAGGTCAATGAGACGCAGATCAGTAAGTGTTTGACGACCTCGGACTGTCCAATATCCTTCTACGCGACTCCTAACACCCACCTAGTCAAGGCAAAGCTCGACTCTCCGTCGGGACCAAAGCTTCGCAAGAAGAAAGCAGCGGAGCCTACTATGACTATTCACACGAAAGCCGCGACAGACGATATATACGAAATCTTTAACGCACCCCTCAAGGCAGCACCTGTGGAAGGGGACGAGACTGGGACCGATTATGATGACGAAGACGACGAAGATGAAGACGACGATGACGACGACGACGGCGAAGACGATGGCGATGAAGACGAAATCGTGACTGACGCCGACTTTGCAAGTGATGTCGAGAGTACAGGCACCACGAGACAGATTCAACAAGGTGAGCACGAAAGGTGATGGAGAATCGGAAGTCAGGGGCATCGGAGAAGATTCGGGCTTCTCAGCCAGAGGTGCACATCTAGTTGTGTCAGCATATGAAGAAGACATGGAAAGGGTTCAAGAGTCTAATCACGTTTGACATAGATTTAACATCACACAGCCTGGGTGGCGATGCAGAAGAGGCATTCTCCGAGGATGAAGAAATGGAACCGCCTAGGACACGCACCATCTTCATTCCCCTGCCTCCAGAAGATTATGAGCCACCGACACGCCCGTATAGGGACGCGGCAACGATGGCCAATAATCGGCTGCCCTTTATGACACCTATCACGGAAAGGACCGAGTACTCGATGGATGTCGACATGGACCGAGCCTACCAGTTCAAGACTCCTAGCAAGCGGGATGGTAGAGCTACGCCCATTGAGGAGGCGTCGGATTCGGAATCATCAGGCAGCCCTCTGAAAGAGATATACGCACACGAGAGTCCTTTTCTCAAAAGTCGAGAACCTCTGGGGTCCAAGGCAGCCAAAGCACCAAGTAAGACCGGCCCAAATAGGGGTGTTCCTGTCAAAGGCCCCATTGTTAAGGAAGCACAGTGCAGTCCCATCGACGATAATATCAGACGGATCATCTTGACGAACATACAGCCCCCGTTGGCGGCGTATCCCGGGTTCTACGATCACCACAATGAAAAGTACGAACGCGGCGGAGAGATTCGCAGATACGCCAAAGCTGTCGGCAGGCTGGGCAGGCCGAACTCGGATAGAGCTGGACCAGGCAGCGCCCCTGTGGTGATTCGCTTCGCCGACTGCCAATCCAGATATACGGTGAAGAGGGAACTGGGCGCTGGCGCCTTCGCACCAGTCTACCTGGTCCAGAACTCGGATCCAGACCAGGATGACAACAAGGTGATGATGGGTAAGGGGGCCTTTGCCGTCTCTCAGCGTGCCGCCATAGAGGCTCTGAAGATGGAGTCTCCTCCCACGCCGTGGGAGTTTTACATCATGCGGACAGCCCATGCGCGCTTGGGGCCTCAGCATCGCGCCACGGCATCAATATCGCTGGCACACGAAATGCACCTCTACCAAGACGAGGCGTTCCTCTTCCTGCCCTTCCACCCTCACGGCACACTACTCGACGTCATCAACTTCTTCCGAGCAGAGCCCTCGGGCGTCATGGACGAGCAGCTTGCCATGTTCTTTGCCATTGAGATATTCCGCACCGTCGAAGCTCTCCACTCCAAGAGTGTCCTCCACGGCGACCTGAAGCCCGACAACTGCCTCCTCCGTCTGGACTCTAGGTCGGCCTCTTTCTCCTCGGACCAGGGTCTGTCCAGCAGATGGCACGCGGATGGCAGCGGCGGCTGGGACTCGCGAGGCATCGTCTTGATCGACTTTGGGCGAGGCATCGACATGAAGGCCTTCGCGCCGGATGTGGAGTTCGTCGCGGACTGGAAGACGACGGCCCAGGACTGCCCCGAGATGCGCGAGGGTCGGCCCTGGACGTGGCAGATTGACTACTACGGCCTGGCGGGCGTCATCCACTGCCTGCTGTTTGGCAAGTACCTCGAGACGGTGCGGTCGGATCAGGGCGGGCTTGGGCTCGTCGGGCGCGGCGGGCGCAGGTACAGGATCCGCGAGAGCCTGAAGCGGTACTGGCAGACGGACATTTGGGCCGACTGCTTCGAGGTGCTGCTCAACCCGGCGTCGGTCCTGGCGCACGAGGACGGCGGCAGGATGCCCGTGCTGCGGTCGATGAGAGCCATCCGCGAGCGCATGGAGGCCTGGCTCGAGGATAATAGCGAGAGGGGGGCGGGACTCAAGGCTATGATGGCGAGGGTGGAGGCGTTTGTCAAGAGTCGCAGGTGATTTTGGACTTGTGTGTTCTCTTGTTTTCTTCCCCCTCAACTTTTACTTGTGGTCTTCTTCTCGTCTTCTTCTATCCTCTCTTTTGCTTTTGGTCTTCGTTTAGTCTTCTTCTATCGTATCCTTTTTTTTTTTTTACTTTTCTCGTTATGATAGCCCCTGTTCACAAAGAATGTATGTTGTTATGCCCAGCATTGCTGTAATACTATTACACACGTCTTTTGCTGTTTCCACCTTTTCCTCTTGAGACTCTTTTGTTCTTGAATAGGTGCTTAACCTTCATTGTCTATTAGAGAAAACACCAATTTTATAGTATACATAGAAGGAGGGCGTTTGTATATAAAGCCCGGGAAATCACAAACTCCAGTCGCATTATGCCAAGTTCCATGCCAAGTCACTGCTTGTTTTTTTCTTTCACTACCCCTTCTTCCCTCTCAACAACTCTCCCCATCACTCGTCTCCTCCTTCTTCACCCCCTTCTTCGTCTTCCCCGTCTTCTTCTTCGCCCCCTTGCTCGCCTTCTTGTCGACCTGCTCCTGGATCCGGCGCCTCTCGTCCGCGCCCCTGGCCTGCAGCTCCGCCTCGAGCCGCGCAAACTCCTTGGTGTCGGGGTCCATGCCGACGAGGCTCTCGAGGAGCTTGATCTCGTCGGCCCAGACCTGCTTGTCCTCGACCGTCTTGCCGTCGGGCGTCTTTCTCTCGATGGGCGTCTCGAGCACCATGGGCTTGTCTTGGAAGTCCGGGTGGTTCATTACGTTGTGGAAGGCGCGGAGGCCGAGGAAGCCGGTGCCGATGTTGGCGTGGAGGTCTCGGTTGGAGTTGAGGGGGGCTTTGCTGTCGTTTACTACAAGGGTGATGGGTTTAGCTTTGTGTGTGCGAGGGGAGGGGAAATAAGATATGAAAGGGGCTTACGGTGGAAGGCTTTGAGATACTTGGCACCGACAATGTCGTTGAACGAATCGACCGTCCTCTTGAAGGCCTCGGGGGTCCGCAGGTCGTAGCCGGCGGCAAAGGCATGGCACGTATCGATGCATACTCCCACCCGCGCCTTGTCCTCCACGAGAGCTATAATGTCCCTCAGGTCCTCCCACGTCGAGCCCACGACGTTGCCGCTGCCCGCCATGTTCTCCAGCACCGTGACGACCGTCGTGGTCGCCTTGTGCGCCCTGTTCAGCTGCGCGGCTATCCTCCCGATGGCCGCGGCCTTGGCGTCTCCCCCCGTGGACCCCGGATGGAAGTTGTACAGCCTGATGCCCAGCTGCTCGCACCGCGCGAGGTCGTCGACGAAGCTGTCGTAGGCCTGCTGGGCCTTGTCGGCGTCTGCCTGCGCGAGGTTGACGAGGTACGAGCCGTGGGGCAGGACGTGCTCGTTTGCGAGGTAGCGGTGCTGCTTGCACTGGCTGATGAAGCCGTTCTGGGCGTCGGGCGTCATGGGCGGGTTGGCCCATTTGCGCTGGGACTTGAGGAACAGGGCGAAGGAGTTTGCGCCAATGTGGAGGGCGTTGGTCACGGAGTTGTGGACGCCTACCCAAGAGAAACGAGACTCAAGTCAGAAAAAAAAAAATGGTGAGGTTTTCGGATATATATTGTTTCTAACCTCCTGCAGCACTGACGTGGGCGCCAATGTACATGGCCCTGGCCAGGGTAGACACGGCCGTTCTCTCTGCGAGGACCATTGCTTCTTCTTCTTCTTCTTTGACTGCTTTCGACTTGCGCTTCTTCTTCTGCTGCACTTCCTTCTTCGGGGAGCCGTTGACGAGAGGTTTGGCGTCGTCGTCGTCTGAATCGGCCTCTGCTTTTCGCTTTGGCCTGGATACGATGGGCTTTGCTGGCTTGGAGTCGATGATGCCGTCGTCGTCTAGTTCTTCGCGCTTGATTGCTGTTCGACTGCCTCTGGTGGGCCGAGGCATTTTGATGATGTTCACAGTTCGATGGTGTGGCTATATGCAAGAAGGAGACAGGCAAGGGAAAGAGAGAAAGGATTCAATTGAGATGGAGAAACGAAAGTGCGGCAGTTCAGTCAGAAGAGGGAGGACTGAAGTTCATGGTCATGCCGAGCTTTCGCGGCTCAATTAAAAGACCGCGTCGGAAGGTGACGCGAGGTCAGGTGACCCTGTGAGCTGCCACTTACATCAATCGCAGCACTAAAACGGACGACATATTGAACGAAGACATTACAGTGGTGGCTTCAACGGGGAAATATAATGGAGGAAAAGCTACCGCTAAGCCTTTTATTGACAGAAAAGGGGCCAGGTATGAAAGAAGTACAAGATGGGAAGTCGGGAGGGGAGAGAGAACTCGCTACAAACTCGATATATTCAAAGGCCTTGAGTCCACCATTATCCAAGATGCCCCGAGCAACCCAACATTTCCCAATGACGAACCCATTGGCGAGCCTACTGACAAATTCATTGAAAGAAGCACCCCAAGCGATCCCACAAGATCCAACAAGCTTAGCATGCATGAACCCTATCCAAAGTATACAAACAAAACAAGCGCCGGGACAAGCTGGAGCGAGAAAAGAGCAACGAAGCCAGAGAGACGTCAGCATGTGCAATCAACCCGAAATCATGCGGAAATCACAAGCTCAGACGTCCGACCCTTGGCAAACTGATCCTTGTACGCCTCCCATATCTTTTCAATCTCCTCCATGTACAGGTCGTGGTACCGATCAACATCCTCTTGGGCCGGTTGCTCGCAGGGCTCCGTGTCGATGCGAATGGGTTTCCCTACCACAACATTGACGGGCCGGCGATAGGGCATCAGGCCGACGTCGTAGTTGAGGATGCCTCGGCCATGCAGCGCAGGGAGCGTAAACTTGAACACCTTGAGGACGAACATTTGGAACTTGTGGACCATCGGGTGCGTCTTCGGGCTGAGCTGATCGTACAAGTCGTTTTCGCCAAATGCGAGGACGGGCACCAGATCGGCTCCTGTGCGCAGCGCCATCTTGACAAAGCCCTTGCGGCCCTTGAGGATGAGCCGCATAGTGCCTGGCTCAGCCTCCAGAGACTCCCGGGCTCCGCCAATGACAATGGTCACAGCACGGCCTCTCCCGTCATTATTGGGGCCTCCCCGCGTCAAAGTATTCCGGATGGACTCCTTCGACACCGAGGCCATGCCCATGGCCAGGATATAGTCGCGGTAAAAGGGCAGCCGAAAATTGGACTCGAGCGTCAAGAGAGTATTGGTGATGCCGGGGAACTTCTCAGCGAAGCCGAGGGCATTGGTGCCGAAGGCGCTCCAGGCGCCGTGGGAGATGATGCCGTGTGGATGATAGCCAAAGATGTACCGCCTGTCCGGCGGGAGATTGTGCGTCTTGTGCAGCCTCATAGGGAAGTACGACGCAAAGAACCTCCAGAGGGGCAGGGACCGCAGGTACTCTGACCGGTAGCTGAGCTTGCCGTTCGTCGCCGCGTTGGACACGCTCAGATGCACCAGGTAGGGCACCAGGAGGGGCCAGGTCAGAGGGTTGGCACAGGTGAACCAGAACATGGATATCAGGACGACGATGGTCATGCAGTGGAAGAAGACGGCGGCGGTCTGAAGCCGGCGAGGGAAGGGCATGCGCAACGGGGCGAAGCGGATGCCTCCGGCCCTCCAGGCTCCAAACTCGTAGCTCTGCGGATATCCATCGTCCGGCAGAACAGGGTATGGTCGGTTCTCGGAGTTGTCGAGGTAGTCGTGGTCGCCGTTGGTGATGACGGTGCCGTCAGGATCCGCAGAACCATTCTCGTCGGTGCGGAGGGACTTCTTGGTCGCCTCCATGGTGCTTGGTTGGGTTCGCTCGACCCGGGGTCGGCTCGCGATGGTCTAGGCTGACTCTTTGTCGTCTTCAAGCTGCAAGAAGCATTGGCTTTTTTTGTTTCTTGGGGCCCGACTCGCTTCGTCTGCAGGATTCGTGGCTTGTCTTGTCCTGGCCGAGGGGCCCGGTAGTCTTGCGCAATGTAATAGGTATCAAGAGAGACTCGAGTATTTAACAAGGTAAAGTATTTGTCGAAACCCGGATCCGTTCGCTTTAGGTGCTCGTGCCCTCCCCTTTCTCTCTTTTCTTTGAGTCGTCCTTCTCTTTGTTCTGCTTCTTCTTCCCTCTTCGTATTCGTCCTTCTCCTTATTCGCTCGTCAGGTCAAGGAATGCCTCGTAGGGATACGGTAATAGGTCGTATGTAGTTGAATGGCGCAAGCCCCAGAGCGCGCCACCAGGCCACCTTATCGGCATCCCAGCAAAGCGCCGGGCAGTTGATCCAACCCGTGCAAGCCGCGGCAGGTGCCATTACCTCATTGATGCGCCAAGCTCTGGGCTGTGCGGCCCCTGGCCGAAAGTGACGTGACCGTAAAACGTGCGTGTACAGTGCATGTACGGTGAACACACCACAGTGCGGCAAAGCCGGCAGATACTCTTGCTCTTACCGATCAGGACTGCTGCGCCACACGACAATTGACTGTCAGTACTCGGTATGGAGTATCTAAGCTGCAGGAGAGTTGCATCTCGGTCAGGGTCATCAGAATGAGCATCAGCCTTCAGACATCGAAGCCACTCGAAAACAACGTGTCACTCCATTCTTGCACTAATCTACTACCTCGATACTACTACCAGGAAGAAAACAAGAAAACAACAGCAGACATGACCTTCCGAAATGCCACGGCCAAGTTAATCGCACAGATCTGTATACTACAACAATGATAACAAGGAACAATCGTTATACCTTGATCGCCATCTTTTGGCGTCGAGGGTTTCAACCATCCGCCCTGATTCCCATGCCCGAACGCCATTCCCCTTGGACACGACTTCTGGTTCACATCCAGAGGAGAGACCAGCAAGAGCGTCCAGAGAAGAAAGAAAGCAAAACGCATTCTAATGTAGATTCAGCAAGCCTTGCTCCCCTTTCCTTCCGAGAACACCTAGACGCTTTTTGAGTAACGAAACGAGACATGCGGGACTATTCATCCTGCAGGTACCCCTTCATTGGGTTGAAGCTGTTTCTTGAGCACAGACATCTCGTGATCAAGCAAGACGACCTTATCCGACAGCGACTTGACTTTCTCCTCCAATGTCTGGATGTAGGCCCACACGCTTGGGTCGCTCTGGGCAAACATGTTACCGCTATCGCCACTCGACGGGGCCGGGGCCGGAGCCTGGGCCGGGGCTGCGGTTGCGGCTGCGGTTGAGCTGGGCGGGCGGCCGTGGGAGAAGGCCGGGGAGCCTGCGGGGACGTATCCCGGGTGGGTTAAACCAGGAAGCTTCGGTCTGCCTTGTCCGCCATGAGGAGACTGCATGTCCGACTGTCGCCTGCCCATCTGCTGCTGCTGCTGCTGCAGTTGCTGAGACAGGCTGGGCGACCGCTGCCGTGCGACGCCAGAGCCGTCGTGGGCTTGGACGCCGCCGGGGCTCAGCGGCTTCGCCACGTCCGGCACGCCAGCCTGTGCGTAGAGACCAGCGGGTCCGCCGCCAACCGCCACGGAAGAGATGCTGGTATTCGGCGTGTGGCTGCCCCCGAGGCTGTTGGAGACGCTCGAGCTACCGGTGGTGGCCGCAGGGTTCTGCCCGCCGGCGGGGGCGTACAGCGAGGCGGCAGCCGCAGGTCTTGCTCCAGCCGGGGGATAAGTCCGAGCGTGAGCGCTATACTGGTCCGCTTGGCCGCCCGGCATATGCTGGACGCCCATGCTGGGCAAGCTCTGCCGCCTGAGTTCTTCTTCGTCAACGTTGTCGTACGCCATGCCCGACATGACCGCCTCGTCTCCCTCCATGCCGCCATCCAGTTCGTCTCCGTCGGCAAAGCTTCCCATGCTCGATCGTCTGCCAGCGCATCCGCCGATGCCTTTGCTGTGGCGGGCGAGAGCATCGCCTCGGGCAAACTTGCGGTCGCACTTGGGGCATACGTGGTTTTTCTCGCCCGTATGAAGCTTGCCATGGCGTTTCAGGTCATGAAGGCGGCGGAACCGCATCTGACAGTCGGTGCATACGTAGGGCTTTTCCTGGCTGTGCGTCAGGAGATGGCTCTTGAGGTTGTGGTGCCGAGTAAACTCGGTGTTGCAATAAGGGCACTTGTGTTTCTTGTTTGCCGACGGCGGCGGAGAGCCCTGGCTTTGGGAGGGCATCGGAAAGGTCATGCCACGGACTGGCGACTCTGGCATGCTGCCGGTGGTTTGTAAGGAGCCCGGATATGACAAGGACCCGGGCTGCGGGCGTTCCTCTTGCACGGCCACCTGCTGAGACACGAGCGAATCGCCCTTGACGTCGACATCCATGGCTGTCGGGCTCTCGGTGACTTGCGCGCCAGCAATGCTCGCGGGACTCTGGGGAGTCACCTCGCTTCGTTCTTCGATGCGATCGCCACTGTTTTGTGATATGGACAAGGCAGCCGTGGCAAGCTTGGAGGAGGGCTCCATGGCGGCTGTGGGAGCCAGCTGAGGCGCGTCTGCCGGACGGCTCATGGCTTCGTTTCCTGCAGACAAGAGGGTTAGGAGGGCTGGTTGGCTGTGGTTCTCGCCGTGATGCTCGCCGTTTGCGCGCAGCTCAGCAGTCTGGTAGTGCTCAGCCACTCTGTCTGCTACTGCTGCTGCTGCTGCTGCTACTGCTTCTTCTTCTTCTCCTTCTCTCTCTTCTCCTCTTTCTTCTTCTCGAGGCCGTCGCTCGTCTTCCACAGCCACGGCGCCGGTCGACGGAAGCGGGGATTGGCCGGATGCCAGCAGCAGCCTGGCGGTCTTCGAGGGAGGCGATTGGGAGCTGGGCCGTTGGGAGGCAGCTGCACGCAACGGCTCGGATTCAGACTCGCGACGGCGCTTGGGCTGTCTCGCGACGTCGTCCAAAGGGAGAGCTGGGGGAGGGGTTGGCGTCGGGCCTGACGGGAGTGGGGTTTCGGCAGCAATGGCAGCGGCGTGAGAGGCCATATGAAGATGCAATGGGCGAGAGGGATCCAGGCGACAGCGAGTCCAGAGGGACGGGTGGCATGCAGTCGCAAAGATGGGAGGCAGCTAGAGCAGCGACACCATTTCGAGGCTGCTCGAGGTGTGGCTGGAGATTGTGGCGAGAGCTAGGGTAATTTTTTTGCTCCCGGCAGAGATTCGACAGCCTTGCGGCACAGAAATGCTGACTATTGCGAGGCCAGGCAGGCGAATGACATGCAGCGTGCGGATGCTCGGCGAGGGCCCGGAATTGGCAGGCGATGGCGATGGCGATGGCAGAAGGCGGGCGAGGATGGCCGGCGGAGGATGGAGATGAAGACGTTTGGGGCTGGATGACAGGCTGGGGATGGGAAGAAGGTGGTTGAAGTTGGTTGGACCTTGGCAGCTTTGGCCTCTAGCGCGTGTTGTGCAGCCAAGGGCGGTGGACAATATTAGGCGGACAGTGGGCTGCTTGCCTGCGCCACACTCTTTGCACCTGCTCCCAGGCCAGCCTTTGTTTATTACTACACGAGTAAGAACAGACACGGGCGCCTGAGAGGACGGGTAATGGACGGCTATCAAGTTATCGAGGCATCCCTTGGGTATTCGCTTGGTGATGAATGATGAATAATAATAAAAACCGTATCAGTGCTGCTTTGGTGGTAACGGAAGTTTCGTGTCAAGGGATCGTCCGTTTCTTACGGCAAGTAGGCGAGGTGGGCAGAAAAACCTGCAAGTCCATGCGATCATGGATGCCGTCATAGTGCAAAGGGCAGTCCGCATACGGAGTTGCAGGGCAGCACTCGCCCTTTCTTGCCTGGTCGAGGTGCGTCTCTACCGTAACTATTCGTACTACACCGTACGAAATACTAAAGAACACACACTCTGCCTCATGCAAAGAAAGCGCTCCATTTCCCTTCAGAGACATGCAAAAAAGATCTTGATAATCGCGGCCAGCTACGAGTACTAGCGTGCGTGCATCTCGATCCGCAGCTGCCGTGGTGACACATGACGGGCATTGAGCTACAGGCAATAGAGCAGTGTTCCGAATACTTCCGCCTCACGCTCTCCCCAGCAAACAGCCTCAGGTACGACGGTACTAGACACAGCTCCTCAGCCTCCCTTCACACGCTGCTACTGGTAAAGTTTGCGCACTGTGTGTGTGTTTGACACGGAGCCACCTCCGTCGCTTTACAAAGCAGACGATACTAGGTATGACTGACTAAGTCGTAATATCTCTTGGAAGTTTTGTATGACCGCTTCAACCTGACATGGTTTGCACCTCCTAACCACCACCAGGTCTCACGATAATACTATTATCGAGTACGAGTCATCCCCCGTACTGTCTCAAACGAGGCTTCGAAGGCTGACACAACTTCAGGTCTGCGCCTCCCTTCCAGACGAAAGAGAGGGCATGTGTAATAGCCCCCATGCTAGCCTCAGCCCGCCAGTGGCAAAATGCTGACAGGCGGCTGGAGAAGTGGCTGGTATGAAGCCCAGAAGCGCGTGTGGGCTGAATTTTGTCAGCCCCGTCAACTTGGCCGGAGCCCAGTCCAACTGTCCGCTGAATCGAACCGACAGGCAGACAAGAGGAGATTACTAGGCGACCGCTGTGCATTATCTGCATGCACGGCGTCGGCGGCAGTGCCACGCCAGCGCCCGTTATTTCAGGTGAGGGAAGGCTCCCCTTTAATGTCTACATCAGTGGCTGGAGAGCGATGCCCCTGCTCGATGCCCGGAGAGGATACGTCAGTTGGTGGACCAATGGAGAGGTCAAGTCTCCCGTTACTCGGCGTTTGTGAAGGCAGCCATCTTTAGAGCTTGTGCTCCGTTCAACGTATGTACATACATACAACTACTCACTCGCACACTGACTAATTCGTTCATGGCAGAGCATTCATAGCGACATGGCAGAGCCTTGAAGCCGCGTCTGTCTCCAGCCAGCCGCTTGTTCAATCGCGTTTCCGCAGATACGAAGCGCCAGCCAGTAAAGACCTGCGCTCTCCTCTCCGTGCTCCCGCAAGGCTCTGATACTGTCCGTATGACTGGGTCCGCGTCGTGGCGGTGTCAACCACCGGCACTAGGCCAAGCGGCCGACCGTCAGCCACTTCCAGGTTGTCAAAAGCTGGGATGATGGAGCGCTCCACTCGCGTTTTCTGGGCCGAGGCGTCGGATCGTGATGAGAGCGAGACCCTCTCTCTCTCTTCTTACGAAGTATGTATGGTACTTTGATGCTCTTTTTATCTGCATTCTGAAGCTCCTACTGTTGATGCCTTTACAGGGCCAACAAGTCACAGGAAGCTGGCAGGAATGGATCTCGTGAGTCATGCAAAGCACTGAGGTGCCGATTTCCATACACTCGGCACAAGAGACCAAATGAATCTCGGCTCAGCCACTGGGGGGCGACGTCATCTTACAGGCTTCATGGTCTGTCGACTGCTTCGCGCTCCGTACTTTTTCATCGATGTACCGAGAGTTGCCCGATTGCTGCCAGGTACGGGTGTGCGTTGCAATCGGCCTCTCGTTCCAGCGACTGGCCCTGGCTCATCACATCTTGCTCTGTACCGGTTGTTATTTTTCTGGTTATACCGACCCGACGGCATGATTGTGTTTGGGGCTGCGGAGCTTGGATGTTGAGAAGTGCGTAGAACCTTTCTTTGCACGAAGTAGCTCGCGCTTTTTTGTGCGGAATGGCGGTGCCGTTGCGAAGCATGCGTCTCCCTGCGCCGTTCGGAATGCCCGTATGGAGTGCGAGGTGCGATTGCTACGGACAGCGTCGATCGATGCACGACTCCCGTCACAGTTCTCATCCACAGATGACACGAGCAGTTCCAGCGGAGTGCCGTTCTTGGAGGTAATCTTCTAGAAATCGGAATGAGATCTCCGAGGACCATATGCCCAGGCCTTGTCACCCACAACCTCTGCCACGTATGGGAACACATGGGAGCAAGGTCGGCACTCCCATTTCCGCTCATCGAGAAGTATTGTATGTAATAGGTAATGGCAACCGGCGGTGTCTTGGATCCGCGGTCATTGTATTGAACGTGGCTTCTGTCACTTATTATCCGCGCTCCATGCGATTACACGTACATACGATACGATGCAGTACCTGGTCTGCCAACATGCCGTGACCTGGATGTTATTATTAGCAAACTGCGGCATGCCCTGTCTCGGAACATTATCGCCTGCGCAAGACAAGGTTCAAGGAACCCAGTTCCCAGCTCCGTTGAGAGACTATCGAACAAAGAAGAAAGGAAGAGAAAAAGAAAACAAAAAGAAGGTGAGGTGGAAGGAAACTTGCCCCTGAACCTCAGATGCTCAGCTACCCAAGGCAAGCCCAGGATTGGAGGCTGAAGAAGACTGAATGGATGGACCTTGCACATGACAAGGCACCATGGCCATCGTGTGCTTCGCAGAATGCCATCAGCTTCAGAATAGATCAGCGTCATCGGACGGAAAAGAAGAGGCAAGGACGGAAACACAAAAGGAGATGCCACTGGTATCCGATGCCATGCTGCGATGGGTGCAATGCAACTACTACATAGAAGTGAAGTGCAACGGTGCAGGCAGAGGCAACTGGCAACTGGCAACTGGTATGGACGGGCCAACAACTTAACCACCCATGCCCAGGTCTCCCAAGTATCGCATGTAAGATGCCGCATCGACCCGTATCGCTGCATCAATGATCTCTTTGGAAATGCAGTAATGTTAATACAGTATCGATATCCTTTCTCTGCGGTGTCAAATATACAAGGCGAATAGTACCTATTACAGTACCGCTACTTGAGCCCCAAGAACGGCGCAGCGGCTGAGAAGCCGGCGTCCTCCGTTCTCCATCACCAGGAAAAAGCCCAGCTCAGGAGAGGAACAGAATCTGCCCAGGACGGGACTAGCGCCAGGCACCTGTGCGACTAAAGTAGCAGTGGTACTTTAGCTCCAGGGCACTCCCTTGCCCAGTAACACGCGGTTTTCTTTGACACCACCCAAACACCACACAAACAGGGGAAAACACGCGTATCTTTTTTCGCAAACACCCTCAATCGTCCAACAGGTACCTGTACAATGAAAAGAAATGACACAGCATGGCACAAACACTCTTCACGGCTTGTACTTTGTATGAAGGCATTTCATACCACAGTATTTCTACTCGCATTGAGAACCCATTAGATCCAGTACTGGACGAATATTACCTTATACACCAATATAGACTCAGAAATCGCAGGCAAGGTGCTTCACACACACCACTTGTACATCGCAATTCGTACAAACTGGGAAGTTTTAAATTAACTGGCACAAGCGAAATGCACCTTCCTTGTGCCTGGCTTCCCTCGTGCCACTCAGCCGCCTTAGTCGCTCTCGTCCTACCCAATGGCCACAGCTGCCATCATCTCGTCTTGCATCGCATCTTTTCCCTCTCTGCCTCTCTCTGCCTCTCTCTTCCTCCCAGACCCCGGCTTCTTCACGCTGGCGATCGTGCACTAGCACAGCTGCTAGCCGTCTCTCTATGCAGGCACCGGCCGTTTCAGCGCCCTCGGACCAGCCAGGCCTCGTTTTCGTGGGTGATTTATCCGCTACCAAGCACTGCGGGTTTGTGTGCCAAGCACCCCAGGCCTCTTGGCCCTCGGCCGTCAATGCTTCGCAGCCTGTCCGCGCAAGCGCTTGTGCTCGCTCAAGTACTTGTACCTGTTGGTGCGAATCACTGGCGCTAGACACGCAGGCGTCCTGAGCCTGTAGCACGAGTAAGTCGTACCTGGACATGGAGCCAGAAAGGAAACAAGATGGAAGCGGCCCTGGACAGCCTCCCCCCTGGGATCTGGAACAGCATCACGGGCCACGGCTGATGCGAGATGCCGGATAACAGGCTCCGTGCCGGCACAAGGCAATGAGGAATGCGGTGAGCAAGTCGGAGAAGCAGAGGCATTCGAACGTACTCCAGGCCCATACGAAGCAGGTATCCATTCGAGAGATGGGGAGAGATGGAGTTGGGGACATGGGGAGGTTCGACACTGTTCGTCCGCATGGCTAATTTCACACTCCGTTTGCCGGCGTGCTCTGGGTACAGGTACAAGCTCGTGCAATGCTTCAGCCAAACGCAGCGTACCAACAACACGGCTACCGCCAGAAACACCACCAAGTGTCAGCCATCGCCAACTGCATATGCGAGTCCAAGCACAGTCGCAGCGTGTATGGAACCCCAAGAGCGAAGTAGTAGTACAAAGTACCTGCATATCGAGGCATATTGCGAAAAGACGATCCATTGCTTTTTGGCGCCAGACCAGCGACTGAGGCCAATTTCCCAGCGGCCAACCCCTTCTCAGGAGTGGCACCCCCTTGTCTCGCTTTGGGCATCCCTGGCCTCTAGGGGACTGATCTCCGTGGGTCAATGCCATGGAGACCGACAGGGGGCCTCGACCCCCATGCTCTGCAGCTCCGTTTTTACCTGTCCTGTCCCTCCC